ATGGCTGGTCCTGACCTAAGGGGAGCCTCCCCCCTCCCATCCACCCTGGTTCCCCCTAAAAATTTATTAAAACACCCCTGTAAAAACGTTCTTAACTTAAATAATTTGGATAGTTTTTTGTCCGTGACCACTGCATGCCACCTCTCGGGGTTCCACACCCCATCCTCGAGGTAGGCCCCCGAGATGTTCCTGGGCCAGGAACATACGATGAAAGCAATTGTGCAAGTTTCTGATCACTATTAAAATTCATAATAACTATTCTAATAGCTTGTTATTGTAGGGGAGAAATCTTGAGAACCTGATTATTTTACAGTAGGGCAACACTTTTTGTTAGTGGTGATTTTATTCTGCCTATATTGTATTACATCATTTGTTAATCAAAGAACTGGCCTTAAAGATTAGACATTGCATATTGAACAATCAGCCTAGCACTGAACTTGCAGGAAGCACCACATAAAACAGTGGATCAAGATTTGTAGACTGAGTCTATCTGCAGTGAAACAAAAATGAATTTTAAAAATTGTAAGTATCCTTCCTTTTTTTTTTTGCAATGTTATTTAGGTTGATTTCAATAGGTTATTTATAGATTGCTAACTGCAGAAATGCATTTCCATTAATAATTATGTTTCTTTTTCAATACCTAGTTTTAGATTGTTTGAAACTAAAATAAATGGACAGCGTTGCTAGTTCTTACATTTTGGCAAAGTTACAAAGCTAAGAGGGAGTGCATTATTTATCTAAAGGATTGCCTTGGTAAACAAGAAACAGCAAACTATGTCATGTCCTAAGTACTCTGCTGAATCATTTTTGGCTGTTAAACAGCAGAGGTGTGCGGGAAGTGATTTGGGTTTTCCATAACTACGTTATAAGGAAATAGCATTTATTTGCATGATGTTGGCTTTCTTTAGAAAGCATGGTAAGCACTAGCTTACCATGAAATGATGCTACCATAAGGTGAAAAGTGATGACGCTCTCAGGAAATAGTAGTGACTGAAAGGGCCAATTAGGTCATCCATTTTAAAGTAGTCTAAGCAATTTACATACCACCCTGAATATATCGGTACTAGAGAGTGCAACCTTACAGCAGACATTCAGCAAGGTACAGAACTCAAAAATATATCCATTTCATAAAAGCCAGAAAGTCAGTTTATGTCAGGTACGAACAACCAGATCCACACATTAAATGTAATGTAATGAATCCAGGCTAATTCCTTGCTTGAACCCTCTTCCCAAATAGGACAGCTGTTCTCCAACAGTTTATGAGGAAACAGTCTCCTTCCACTATGGCTGAACTGCAACTTCTAGCAGCTTCAGCTAGCATGGCCGACAGTGAGGAACACTGGGAATTGTAGTTCAGCAAGATCTGTAGGACACATGCTCTCCACCCCAGTCTCATCACAGCACTAGTTTTAACAGCATTTTAAAGTTAAGAAAATTTATTTCAAGATACCATTCTGTTACACAAGATGGATTCCATTAGAAAAGCTATGCTGGTATTACTTTACAAAAGTAGCATTCTTACAGTTTTAGATCCGAAACAGAAGCAAATCTTTTCAGCCAATTAAACTTACAAAATAAAAGTGTAGTATCTTTAACAAACAGAAAGCCAATCTTAAACGTAGAAATAAGTCATGTATATATGTGCTTGAGCAACACAGAAAAAAATATTTTAACATACACATAAAACAGGTATAGAAACAGAGTTAAGATAAATTAAGCTAACTGTGTAGCTATGAAACAACATTGTTTTCTTTAAAAAAAACACTATGAAACTGGAACATTTCAGGAACAGGTTATAACATTAGGATTTTTTTTCCCTCTGAAACTTCAAATATATCTTCAAACTTCATCAATTTTCCATTTTGCAACTAGGGAATATTTCGCAAGCTAACCCTAATCCTAACCCTAACCCTAATCTTTGATTATTTTTAGAAGGAAAAATTAATAGCTCCTTCCCTTCAAACAACGGGATAATCTTATCTATTTTTCATTTCCTCAGTGTCAAAATCTTAATTTTGCTTTCAAAATTGCAGCATCTATGAAATCCGGTTTATTTGCATTTCACCCATCTCCTTAGCCTCAACTTTCTTATATTTTCCAGTCCTCCATCTCTTCATAATCACAAACACAATAATCCCAATTAAAATGGCCAAGAGAGCCACCACGACCACTGCCACAATGCCAGCTTTCAGGAATTGCATTGAGAATTCGGGGGGGATTTCATCCACGTAGTAAATGAGGACTTCTTCAATATCTAATGGTTCTCCGTTGACCGTGATATTAAATTTATTATAGGAGGCAAAAGGGGAGTCACGTTTGATGTCTTTTTCAAAGTAATAGGCTACATCTGCAATATCCACATCTGGGTAGGACTTCTGCGAAGTGTTCTGTTTCAAGTCAATTTTGATGAATGGGTAATCATATTCAATAGATGGGATGAAGCTTGGACGAAGCTTGTACCGGTTCTGAATGAGGCGCAGAAGACTGCTTGCTACTTCAGATTGGGAGAAGGGAGATTCCCGTTCTTTGTGCTTCAGCTCGATGAAAATCCAGCTTGTTCTAACAAGTTCAACGCACTTTAAGTTTTTATCATGCTTATCTGTTCTCCTGACCCCAGCACTGTTCACACACCAACAAGTATCTGTATGATTGCATTGCCTGGCTTTGAAGATGCCATTATTGTCACAGTCTGGGTCATACAGTCCATCATTGTCCAAAAAACCAGTTTCAGGCTTTGGAAACCCCCTGCTGCCTGGGGCATTCATCTCTGCCTTCATAAGCAGACATTTAGATGTTAGAGTTAAACAGTCCACTTTCTGATTTGAACCGAAAGCCTTGCAGATGCAGCTGCCTTGCTCCATTTCACAGCGTGTCCGTCTGTTGTTTGGACATGTGCAGTGATCCTCTTCTGCTGATGCAGCCACGACCATCAACAACAATACAATTCTGAAAGTAGACTCCATAGGTTGGAGAGGATGAGCAGAAGTTGGCTTTAGAAAAGAGCAGGTGAATACAGCAGCCTAAAGACAAGATCCATCCACAGCAAGAGCCTCCCAGTTTCTGTGTGACTGACTGCACCTCTTGCTTCCTCCCTTTGAAAATGAATGTCGGACCCACCCAATCAATTTAGTTAGTGACTCACAAACAAAACAGGTCACAGCAGAGGTCCAGGAGCACTACACCTTCTTCCATTAGGGTGTGGTAGCAACTCTCATTTCTTTCCTCCCACTGAATGAGGAAGCACCGGATGCCAAAAACACAGAAACCAATATAACACTACTATAAGCTCTTTTATGAATTCAAACACACCTGCCTTATGGGCTGAGGTAATAATATGCCAGGCTACATATTAATGAAAAACCATACTGAGTATTGGCTGAGAAATTCTGGGAATTGAAGCCCACACATCTTAAAATTGACAAGGCTGAGAGACGCTAAGGTAGACTAATGTTGACTTCAGGGGTTAAGTACACACAATGGACAGAACTGAGGGATGCAGAGAAAACTGAGTAGCTCTCTTTAACGTTTTTGAAGGTTCAGTGGTTCTTGGTGGTCAACTCTTCCGTGATTTAAGATGGATAGCTGAGACATCTCTTTAGCTCTTCCACAAAACAGTGATGAGCCTGTGATAGTTCAGAGGAGTACTAAGAGGAATACTTGGTATCTCTTGAGATGACCCAAATGCTCCAGGCAGTCACATTTTCCTCTGATATAAAATGGATTTTTGAGGTCCCCGACAGAGTAATTTCACACAGTCTATCCTTATTCACTTAAACAAGTATACCTCTGGCAAACACTGACATCTGCGAGGATGTCCACCAGGGAACCATGATTGACCAGTGCTCTATGGTTTTGCTTTGGCAGGATATGAGAAATGGCCTTTACAGTCAAATGGTATTTGGTGAAAGTTGCTCCCAGTCACACTGACCTTTTACTTCCTTGCTCTTCTCTGAATCACAGAAGTGCAGCAGTGGGGACAAGGATTTTTTTTAAAAAATCTATAGTTATCAAGGGAGGGATATTTAACACAATGAGGAAACCTCCATTTCAGCTCCTTATGCAGAAAATATATTTCAAAGTCCTGTTCCTCTATTTTATAGCCTTTGTACTGTGAGACTATCTTCTCTGGTTCGTGTTGCTTGAATTAGTTATTTTTAGAAAGTTTTTAAAAATTGGGTCCCAATGCTTTTTCAAAACAGTATCTTTATTATTTATTAAACAAATTTATATGCCCCCCCCAACTCAAACATAGGTAACTATTGCATGTCAAAAGAACACCTACATATTCTTAAAAGCTGCAGGACTTGGCTTTGGGTGAGAAGTCTTGTAATATTTTCATGTCAACTTTACTTTGTTCTGTCTCTTTGGCACTTGACACTTGCTAAACTTTTGTTCTGGTAGCCTTTGAGATACTGCAGACTGAGAATCCTGCAATAAACTAACCTTAACCCTCCACTTTTTACACACAAGAAATGATTAACCAAAGTACTTCAATTACATAGTTCCAGGGGTGTGTATGTGCCCATGTAACTCATTTATAGTAGCAATAAGGAAGAAACTTGTGGTACCTTGAAAAGTAATTAAAGTTGTTATTCTTTAAGTTGCCACAAGACACTTTCTTATTTTAATTATTCAGTTAGTCCCTAGTATTATGTCTGCCAACTGATTTGGGATAACTATCTTTGAAACCAGTGTGTTGTTCCTTTCTGTTCCTCAATACTTCTCCTATGCTACTCATCAAACACTATTGCTGAAGCCTTTTCTCCTGCAGGTGTTAATTCCTTCCACTATTTTATTACTGCCAAAACATTCCTCAGTGTATCACTAGAAGTACTGGCTAGAAAATTGTGTGGCACTCTGAAAGCATCAGGGATAAAAAAAGGCAAAATTTGAAAACAGCTTTCCGAAGCTTTCGATGCATAAAGACCGAATGCCAAGCTGGCTGAAAATTCAACACACTGCAGAGTGCCAGGATGTCACACAGGTTGTGAGAAAGTGAATAACTTTCTTATTTCAGGAAATAACTGAAGCAGAGGAAAGAGGGATAGTTGAAGGACAATGGAAAAGCAGGATAGGATAATTTCCACTTTTATGAGAACCGCCATCACTATTAAGTGGGTATCAGTTCATTTATTATAGAATTTCTGTAACATGAAACAGAATATGATCAAGAATACAGGAAGTCCTTGACTTACAACCATTCGTTCAAAGTTACACTGAAAAAAGTGACTTATGATCATTTTTTCACATTTATGACTGTTGTAGCATCCCCATGGTCATATGTTCAAAATCTGTATGTTTGGCAACTGATTCATATTTATGACGGTTGCAGTGTCCTGGGGTCATGTGTTCACCCTTTGCGACCTTCTGACAAGCAAAATCAATGGGCAAACCAGACTCACTTAACAACCATGTCACTAACTTAACAACTGCAGTGATTCACTTAACAAATGTGGCAAGAAAAGTAGTAAAATGAGGCAAAACTCACTTAACAAATTCTTCACTTAGCAACATAGATTTTGGGCTCAATTGTGGTCATGGGCCAAGGACTACCCATATAGTGCTGTAGCAGCTAAGTTTTTAACCACAAAGGGCTTAGTTTAAATATGATCTCTTCTATCTATTATAGTTGACTGAAACCTTCTCTCTTACTTAGTCAGCTCTCCAACAACATCTGAGTATAACAAACATTATCTTTCATTCCCTAGTTACTACAAAGATTAAAAAACATATATTTTCATTACACTGGCTATTTCCCTATTCCCGTAGATTTCCAGGCCACTTACAATTAAAGTCAATCAAACCGAAAACACAAACCAAATCATACAATGAAACTATTGAGTTAAATCCAATATTGGCCCAGGAAGACAAGATGCATAGGAAAAAAAATACTGTAAATTAATCCAACTTGAATAAGAACACAACAATCCATCACTGTCAGAAGAAGCTAGCATAATATCCCTGATCAGTCTTGAGATAAAGTGAATTACTTTGTTTTTTTTAAAGGCATGCATTTCAAAGCTTTACACAAAAGCATCGTAATTAGTATTAATTCATTCTCCCACCTATATAAAACCAGGAAAACTACTCAAGCAGCATGTATCCATAGAGAAAAGGTTACTCTACAAATGTTGAGGGAAAGAGGGGAGCACAGAAGTTTGTCACCTATCACTCAATTTTTCCTATAAACTATCAATTACTTTGTATTTGTAAGACAATATATGGACTGTACAGCCTGTAAAGTTTTCCAGCATACATCTTTCTGTAAATGCTTGCTTTAATGTGATACCATGCTGATTTTCCACAGCTGTTCCATTTGCATGAACCTATCTAAGAAAATTGTCTTCATAAGGTTCTCATTGCCTGTTTTTCAGGACAAGGGGTAGAATCTAGAACTGAGATTTATGGCTTGGCATCTATTATCTTTCTCCTCACAAGTTAAACTTCAATAATGAGTAAAAAGCAATAAGGAGTGTGAACCATCATTCATTGGAAAAAACAACTGGTTAAGTAAGTCCTTATTTCCATACATTTACATGGATCAAGGATTGCACCATTTATTTAGCTATGCAATTTATCCCTGCTTCAATCCAGAGGGACTCTAGGGGTTTAAAGATAATTTTTTTAAATAACTTTATTTAAAAAAAATAACATTAAAGCTCAACTATAGCAGTCAAAACACATTACAGTATTACCTTAAGCATTACTTCTAGCACTCATTGTTCTATAGCTAATCCTGAAAGGCCCTCTAGGAAAATCAAGACTGGAAGACCCTAGGAATAGGGGCAACCCTCACCTCAGGGGGCTGGTCCAGGAAATGGGAATTCCCACAAAAAAATGCTTGCTGCTTCATTTTTAGGCTGCCTTGTAGAGGTACCTTGAGGTAAGACGGGCAGGCTATAAATGTTATCAATCAATCGATCAATCAATCAATGTTTGTGACTTATCATTTTGGTTCTTAGAAACTGTCTTCTTTATTAAATAATGTTGCAGGAGAGGCACATGATATTAGTGAGAAGAACACAAACTGCAATCCAGTGTCTCAGATCTCACCTTGAATGCATAAATATAACTATTAAAAAATCTGGAATATATGGGTTTCATGGAGTCTCCTGGAAACAATTTATGAGACTAATTCAGTAAGTTTATTCTGCATACAGCTTCCTTATGTTTTCATTTTTCTCTCCAGAACTTCCTAATCAAAATAAAGATCCATGTTCAAATGAAGACTTTCCTCCATTATTTCTCCATAGTAGATAACAAGATGCTTAACAGTTGAGCCCCTCTCTTGATAAGGAAGTACCTGAACTTGCTTACAGCATGAGCAACTTGAAAATTTCGGTCACAACCATAGTTGTTCTGGACCACTAATTTCTATCCAGCAGATTGGAACTGAATATCAGTTTCAAATTCAGAATTTTTGCAGTTCTACCTAACCTTTGCCTAGAATTCAATATTTGTGCTTTCTCCCTCCTGCTTTAGGCTTATCTTGCAGTGCTAAATAGAACTATTTAAAGCTCTTCTGTACTGCTGGGTTAAGAGGTGTTCAACTTTGGCAACTTTAAGACTTGTAGACTTCAGTTCCCAGAATTCCCCAGCCAACCATGCTTAAAATCCACAGATCCTAAAGCTGCCATGTTGGACACTCTCTGGTATAGACCATGTAGGCTTAGTGCATACTCATATCAGGTTTCTGAAAATGAACAACACATTAAGAATATTTTTTTGCGTGGGCTGCTCCTATCTGCTACTAGTTTAATTACTTACCCAATAATTCCAGGATGAATCAGCCAAACTTCACCTCCCCTTTTGGCCAAAAGTAACTTTACAATCTGCAATCATATGTTTTTGATTTGTCCTTTTTTAAAGCCGGATGACATTTCCCGGATCTTCTTTAGCAACTAGCACCATATCACCTATCCTATTTTTTCCTCGTCCTCCCTGTTTTCCAGTTTCTCTTCTATGTTAGGTCAGAGCCATTTAGATGAGTCATAACATTTTGCTTAATGCTCACATTTACATCCTGTCTCATTCAGCCTTAACTTTTACTCCTGATAACTGAACTATCTGAGCTGGATCTTTATCCTATTCCTTGAGTTAAAAAACAAAACTAGATTATTATCTAGGTCAGGGGTAGGCAACCTTGGCTCTTTTATGACTCTGGGAGTTGAAGTCCATGAGTCATAAAAGAGCCAAGGTTGCCTACCCCTGATCTAGGTAGAAACTGTAGGGACTGTGTGGAAGAATTTGATGGAAAGCTGTCCACTTTAATAGTTATGAATTGCAAGCATGGAAACCTGCGTCCTTTAGACATTTCAGATGATAGTCTGTTGCAGGTAGTCAAGCTGTCCTCTTTAGGTCACGTTATCTATCCCTGATAATGTCCCCTTTCTGGGCAAGCAAATTGTCTTGGAGAGACGAAAACAAACCTGTCCCCAGCTTTTCAATGGTGGCACCATCCATTTAAAGCATGTACAGGAAAGTTTCTCTCATTCAACTTCTCTTGCTTCTTCTACTCATTAAAAGCAGTAATGGGAAATCTCTTGACATTGGTTTCCTACTAGTTCCTCTATGCTTTTTCCATAGACTCCAAGCTCTCATCCAGAAGCGAATAAATGAAGATCTCAGCTTCCGACAGACAGCAGATAATCCCTTCTTTTTATCTCTTCCCTCTAGCCCCACAAGAGTGTCTTTATGGAAGAAAAGAGCTATCTCCATGAGGTCTGCATGAAAATAACAGAGAGATCTTTTGAAACCAGGGCCGAGTTCACTTTTGTCAGACTGACTGCTGGGCAGCTGAATGAGAAGTACATCAACATCATTGCCTATCTAACAAAATGAGACTCAATATGGGGAAAAGTAAGATACTGGTACAGATTAGATGAAATGTGGTTCAGTAACAGTAATCGTGAGAGGGATCTAGTGGACAATCACTTAAATATGAGCCAGCAGAGTGCTGCAGCTAACAAAAAAGTCCTAGGCTGCATTAACAGGGATAGAATCAAGATCAGGTAAAGTATTAGTACCGCTTTATAAGACCTTGGCAAGATCACTCTGGGGATAGTGCATCCAGTTTTCATCACAATATAAAAAAGATGGCAAGACTCTGGAAAGAGTGCAGAGAAGAACAACAAAGATGATTAGGGGACTGGAGGCTAAAACTTATGAAGAACGGTTGCAGGAATTGGGTATGTCTACTCTAGTGGAAAGGACTAAAGATGACATAGTAGTCTTCCAATATTTGAGGGGCTGCCACAAAGAAGAGGGGGTCAATCTATTTACCAAAGCACCAGAAGGCAAGACAAGAAGCAATGGATGGAAACTAAGTAAGGAGAGAACCAATCTAGAAGTAAGGAGAAATTTCCTTACAAAGAACCAATGGAATGGCTTGCCTTCAGATGTTGTGGGTGCTCCATCACTGGGGGTTTTAAGAAGAGATTGGACAACCATTTGTCTGAAATGGTTGAGGGTCTACCGCTTGAGCAGGGGGTTGGACTAGATGAGCCCCAAGGTCTCTGTTATTCTGTTTGATCAGCTTCAGCATGGACAGACTTTCTAGTGATCAAGATATTATTCCTATGAGTGACAGCAAACCCTCAACCTTAAGCCTGGATTTTTCCTACTCTCATCAGTCAGAGGGCAGAAGTAGCAATATGACCATGTTCGCCAATCCGTGTGCTTCAGTGCAGTGTGCGAACAAAGCATTTGATTAGAAATCACTTGTGGAGCTTTAGACTCTAGGTCAGGGGTAGGCAACCTTGGCTCTTTTATGACTTGGGGACTTCAACTCCCAGAATTCCTGAGCCAGCTGAGTCCCTGAGTCATAAAAGAGCCAAGGTTGTCTACCCCGCTCTAGGTATAAAGAGAATGTTGAGATTATAGATATATTCAAAGAACAGCTGTTATAGGGCTTTCTAAGTAACCAAGAAATGGTATGGGATATGCAAAATATTTCCCATTCAAAAAAATTAATTTCCAGTACAAAAAGCTCCATCCCAAAATGGAAAGCAAGTTTCATATACTACTTGAAACAAGCTATTTCGGTCATTTTTAAAATTTGTTTCAAGCTCCCAAATTAACCGAATCAGGCCATTTTGCTCTTTTACCAGCCGTTGCAGGAAGCTTAGTATAAAGCAAAAAAAAAAAAAAAAAAAAGGTGAAGTTGACATTCCAAACAGAGCAATTTCTTTTAAGGCTTTTTCCGACCCAACATCCATTTTCACAAAAAAATAAAATGAAGAGGCTCAGTTACAATTGTCAAGTCAGTCCCTTCTTACGAGGAAAAAAAACCAACCAACCCCTTACAAGAAAATGCCAATTTCACTAGAGCAAACAGGAGACATTTGGAGAAATATATAGCACAACTACTGTTTTTAAAAATCAGTGTTGCGTCCAGGTTTATGCTTTTCTAAAGTTTTTCTGCTGACAGCAGATTCTTCCTTCACATAGCCTCAAAATCTATTGAGATGGCTGCCCCAAACACTAAGGGCAGATTTTGACAGCTGGGGTGGGGGGGGGGGGTAGAGAGGGAAAAAATCAATTTCATTAGTAGTCTGCTACAACAAGACGATAACTTCCACCCTATGTAAAGCACACCAAACGTGCACACTGCCTATAGTAATCTCTCATTGTAGAAAGCTCTTTGCCCAACTCCATTTAGCCCATAAACATGTGCTCTGCTTGTCTTTTGTACAGCATGTTTTAAAAGAAAATCCTGGCTGCAGTCATTCAACTTTAAAAAAAAAACTTCTCTAGGCCTAAAGATGTTTTTTTTGCAAATTAAGATTGCAGTGAAAACCAACTGACACTTCACCTGTATATTCCTAACTCTCCTGTTTTTGATTTTGTTTTAAATAAGAGGCAGTAGCATTCCAATAATTCAAGCTTTTAAGCTTTTTTCTCAGAATGAGTTGTGGGAATAGTGAAATCCCAATCCCATTATTCAAATTTATATGATGTAAAAAAAAAAAAAAGTGAGTTTTCTGGAGCTGGTTCCTCCCAGCTATATGGTTTTATAAAGCAGTGTTTTTGTTTGGTTAAATTCTGGGTAATTAGAAAAGAGTGCAGTGCTATTCTTCTCTAAGCCCCAAGGGAGTTTATTAGGCATCAGTTATTGCACAGCGCCCTCTAGTGGCTCCGTCCAAGTTTGAAGCACAATTAATTGCGGCATTTATGAGCAATAACTATTCTGCAGCAAATTATAAAGTCTCCATGGAAAGTCATTATAAACAAGTTGTTTCCAATTACAACACGCGTTTACTCAGGCACCCATTTTTAAAACCCAGAGTGGTAAGTTCTTTATTCAATATTTATACATGATGAATAGTCAACTTTTTTTTTTAATCCCAATTTTGCTGCATGTGCAGCTAGAAATCTACAATGTGCTTTAACAATAGTTTGGAATAGACAGCATAACCCAGAGCTAATGGAACTGCTCTGTGCCACAGCTCTGAAATGTGATCCTATGAATCAAACACAAAGAAACTTACCATGTATCACATTTCTTTTATATGACAAGTTCCCTTTTAGGTCAATTTGAAACAAGGGAATCTTTTAAACATCGTCACGTCATTAAGGAGAGACAACGCTGGCAGGAAAAGCTCTTTCCATTATTTGAGTGGTTAATTCCTTTCACTTCCTCATAAAAATGCACACACAATGGGCAAATATACCTGTACTATGCTTTTACGTGAAAGTAAAGTAGTTCAGTCATTCTTTCTGTACAAAGGCACGCTATTTACAATATTCGTTACACACAATATAAATGTAAACATTTTTCAATAAAATTATGTTGCAATGGCTGCAAATTCTATACATAGATTGGGAGGTTTTCCTTCCCTTTTAGAAATCAGTGGTTTCAGTGCCGTGCTAGGATCTCAGGACATACAAGCCATTATATCACATGCAATTTGATTGACATAATAGTCTGGAGACGGAACAAATGTATGGATTAGACTTCATATCAATGCAACTCTATATGGGGCGGTATGATCTAAGAGCCTTGCATGCAATTAACTAAATCAAATATATGCCGACTTTCAGTGAGAAAGCGCTATACATTCACTATTCAGCAGTACTTGCACAATTTGCACACCACCATCATCACAATTGAAGGAACTTGGCTTCACAATGGAACAATAAAGGCTAGGGTGAAGATACAGCACATTAGCCTGGAGATGATGTTCAGGTTAAAAAAAAGAGAGAGAGAGATCTGTAAAGTAATTTTGCAGCTTTCTACTATGCCTTTAGACATAGTCTTTCTCCCTTGTATTGTATCTGTATTTTATATCACGGCATATGTTCTGGCTTGTGGGCTTAAAGTTTAATAGAACTTGGAGAAGAAATTTTTTTCTTTATCTTTTCTCAGATCCATACCATTAAGAACATCCCATTCTACAGACATGCTAAACTCCACAAATCTGTTCTGTTCAATTCAATTCAGTTCAACACAATGTGGTACAAAGGTAAACCCAATCTTAATTTTCCCTTCAAATACTGTTGGCATGGATCAACAACCAACAAATGAAAGATTGAGATTATCCATAATTCTGATATGTTTTTAAATTGATTGCTGCCTTTTTAGAAGGATATGGTATAGCTCAGGGGTCCCCAACCCCTGGTCCGTGGACTGGTACCAGGCCGCAGCATGCCAGCAACCAGTCCACACAAACAAGCAAAGCCCCATCCGTGGGATGCAGGCAGTACACAAAACCACGCCCCCTCCGGTCCATGGAAAAACCTCTCTCCACGTAACCGGTCCCTGGTGCCCAAAAGGTTGGGGACCTCTGGTATAGCTTATTTTATAAAATGTGGTATAGCTTATTTTATAAAATAGAAGTGCATGTGACAGTAACTAGGGAGTACACATGAAACATAATGTGGTGGTGTTTCCTAAACAGAACGGCAATATAATTATTTCAATATCGAGCTAATAGCGCTTGGTCCAAGTAAAACATTATCGCTTCAATTTTTTAGAGTGATGGACAGCTTCTGCCTAAGTGGTGGGCTGGTAAATGGTTCATTTTCCTGCTGTATAACTGTAATTTTAGAAGATTAGAAGTTATGCCAGAGGTCAGATAGTTCACCATGATTGCTTCATACTGTCTTTCATTAACAGTAATTTTCTTCAGCCGCACTGGATTCAGTTACATTCAACGATGGCCACTTCATTATAAAGTGGTCAATTTTTCTTTCCAGTATTATCATGTTGGCAGGTCATTTGGACACATGCTATTTTCCTCAGCAGTATCGGTCCATTCCTCATTTTGGTAGGCTGAAAGGAACAGGTTTTCTAACTGTGTCAGGAATTCTTCAGCAATGAAGCTATTGGCTACACTGTCCAAAGTCTTCCTCATGCACTCCAAAAGCTAGTTTTAAGATGGAAGAATAAAGAGAAAAATAATGTCAGAGTTGCTGTAATAACATTTAGGAGATGGGGGTAAGGGGGAGAACAACTATACATTTATTATGATAACCAAAACCTATTAAGACCTTATGCCCAAATATACAAATGTATATCACAGATATACTACAGTACAAATAACTACACAAATAACTATCACAGATTCAATAAATTGCTTTTCTGCAGTGAACATTCTTCATGACGAATAGCCAGTTTGTTAATGTAGTTGTACTTCAAATTCTGCTAGAGGTATTATATGTGATTATATCTGAAATATGTCAAACATTACCCAGTGCAAATATTCTATATATAGAAAGCCGTATCAAATGCCAATAGCTCTGCAAACACCTCTCGTCAATCCAAGAAACGTGTTTCGTGGTGCTCTGCCCTTTTTTTTTTCACTGAACAGAGGCAATTTTTGTAAGGCTTGTTAAAATGAGAGTTGCAGCAATGATGCTTCTTATTACATCATTTATCCATCAAAGTTTACATAAGAATTACTTGAGATACCAATAGTCCAAATTCACTATGCAGCATTTTATAATCTATGTGGCATTTGAATTTGGGTGGGGGGAGGGTTGGTGACTGGAAGCTTCTTGGGAAATACTGTTTGACTGATGTTTGGAAATGATGCCAAGCCTATTTTGATTGATCCACCTTGCCAATCTATTGTATGGCGTGAATCAGCCACTTGAATGAATGGTAGAGTGTATTTAGTTCCATCGATTCAAATAAAGGAACCATCAACAGATTTATGGAGTAGATGTAATCTACTATCTGGTCCTCACTTTTCAACTGTTGCACAGAGGAAGCTTCCTGGAATGTTAAGTGAAATATCTGGGGGGGAAAAACAGGATCTCCCTCAGCCTGAAGACCCTTAACTAGAAGTATGTAAAATTCATATAATGATCAACAGATCATTGTAAACAAAATCATGTAGACTACAACTGACGGAAAAAGATAAAAGTGAGAGGACTCAGTGTGGGGGCATTCATTTCTGCAAGGATTATTTCTGCAGTGTTGGGGTAGAATTCTGGCCATTTGAAGCTATTTAAGGTTTGTATATCTTGATGAAAATCAAGACAGTTAGGCCACAGGTTTCTGAAGACAAGTCTAATCTACCAAAGAGAATTCTATTTTGTCAAACTTTCATTTATTTCAGTATTTTATAAGAGTCAATTGCTTGGGAGCCTCAGCAAAGAAATGGTAAATATATGCAAATATGTAATCACTAATTCACAGATTTTTAGCACAATTTCTCTCATATTTAACAGGTTGGATCCAGATTTAGATACACTTAGCACAGATGATGAAAAACCAATGCCACAAATTGTCATACTTAGAATAGATCTACTGAAATCAGAATCCAACTGAAGATTTCTATCGTAATTAGGCACAATTATGCTGCCTGAAATTTCAGGGGAGAAACAAAGAATTTTATAATGATTACCTTCTGCAAACACGTTAGGTCTGAATCTCTATGGAAGATTTTATCCATGGGCACACAACTATTGAATGAAACATGGCAAGACAATGTCAGAGGATACATGAAAGTGCTTTTTACTTGAAATACATACTAATTTGGACTAACTTGAAAGATTCCAAAAATCAAGCAGGCTACACACCTATGAGAGAGTCTGTATTTTTCAATTATCCACTGTGTTTTTTCTAATACTAGCTCCCACTGAGGTTCTTCCAACATTTGTTGCACTTCAAACTTGTATGGCAGGCCTGGAAGCCATTAAAAAATATATCACATTATACAGAATCATATTCAAAAAAATGCTCCTCTCTTTGATTTAAAATGTATTGTTCACCTCCCTTTATTTGTACTGACAAAAATCAACAACACTGGTTTATAACATCAAGACCTTGATCTAATTATCTTAATTACAGACCAAATTAGCTTAAGTTCTAAAATCAGGTTCAAATCTGTGTCGAATTGCTCATTTAATTGCTTGTCCATAGTATAATTGAGCAGAAAATGCATGCCTTGTTAATTTCAAAAATGAGATGTATTATACAAACTATAAAGCCATTTGATTATAAATGGAAACATTCGACATCTTGGATACTCAAACCTTTTAATTATTGAAATTGATATTAATTTCTTTTCCTCCCCTCCAACTTATACAAGCTTCAATTGTCTTCATGCTTTGGATATCAATTTACAAAGGATTATTGATAATATCAAGAGATTAAAGGCTAGATACAGATTTTGCAAATCCACAGGCAAGTGCTCTCTTGCTTAGCTTTTCCAATTTAACCAGACTGCTCTGCTGATAATAGTTTTAAGAACTGGATTTAACTAAATTACTCAAACCCCCAAATCTGCTTTCTACAATTTTCCTGTACATGGGCATTTCAGACACTTAGACAACCATATGTTCATTTATCTCTAGACCATTAAAGACAAAAACATAATTTATATACTATACTAGTTACTGAATGTAGTCAAGCAGATGCTAGCAACTACCTGACAGGCTGAACTTCAGACTGAATCTGAGTTCTAATATTCTAGTACAAAGAAGAAACAAAACAACTAAGCTATTCAGGTGTCAGGAAATAATGCAGATGCTCCCCCTTCGTTAAGTACACTTTTTTTTTTTTTTAAAAAAGACCCAAATCAAACAATATAATATAATCTTCCCCATTTTTGCCTCCCATAAATATTATGGGGAAATGTTCAATTCTGTTAGTTTGGGATAATTTTTAAATATATTTTAAATTATATAATTTAAGTTTGGGATGTATAGATGTCTCCTAGGAATGTTATCACCACTGATGTGCCTTTAAGCACTGCACTGCTCATCCCAAGGCTAAACAACTGAGTCTAGTATCACTGTCACATGATCCAGATTTTAGTTAAATACTCTTAAAATTGATAGCTGCTTCCCCTTTCACTATGTATGTATGAATCCCCTGTACTATCTGATCTCTCTAGTCATGTCTGCATTAACCTCCTTTGAGAACCTAGACAGAAGTGAAAAAAAAGACAGAAGCTGGAAGCTTATACAAGCCCATAATTTATTCCATTCTCTCCCACATTTATCAGAATTCAGCGTTTTCCCATAAGATGTATAGCAGACCAAAATGTGCAAGATTTCAGTATTCCTGAGCCAGCATGGCCATTTCTGAGAATTTGGAGAGCTGCTCCACAATATGGGTGGTATTCAGGGCAGGGGAAGCCTTACTTACTCCCAACCCCCAAAGCCTGCTTTGCTGTAAATGCACACAGGTCACAGATTCCTATGACTCCAGCACCTTAGTGCTTAGATTCAAATTCATTCATTAATATTAGTTTGTAAAAACTAGTGTACATTTTTCTTCCCCACCCCCAAGATTTCTAATTAAGCATAGCTTAATTCTAATGACTCTTTCTCTTATCTCTCCAAAGCCTGCTTTTAAAACACATTGAAATAGAACCCATAACAGAGAGGATTATTTTAAAAAGCACTTACGGTAGGATCCATCTGAGCTAGTCTCATCACTAATTACAAGACAAGTGATCTGAGAATAGGGAAGAGGATTATTTCGATTGTAAGGACTTATAATCATTCCAACAAACATTGAGCCACCTCTGGAAAAATAGCTCTGGAGAAAAATAAAAATGCAATAAACAAAATACAATATACCTTTCTGTCTCTGCGTATAATCAATCAGAATGCAAATGTATCCAATAACAGTGGCATGTGGTGGTTTTTTTAGTATTCAAAGTTGTATGTGGCTAATGAATAAACAGGATTAACCTTTCAACAGTTATGAGTTATATTTATTTTTTTGTTCAGCAAGGAGATGTTACCTGGTATTTTGCCTGGGTATCAATGTCCCGTATGGAAGGATTAGGGTCAAAAGCAGGATGGGAATGGTACCATCCAATGATACTGTAACCTCTAGCAGCGAGTGTCTCTGATGCTTGAGTTTGAGATACTGGATCCATTTCACACTGCAATCCTGTACTAAGGCTATTGCAGGGTTCTGCTACACAGACCTGCAAGTTAGCAAATATAGAGGATTTAATGGGGACCCTACAGTCGAATGCTTTTTTTTAGATTCTGAAGAACATATTCTATTTTAAAATGGATGCCTGAATTCCAAATGTACAGTGATCAAGCTCTTAAACAGATGCTCCTACATGGATATTTTAATATGCTCTGCTTCAATTTAGTCCACTGTAACTCATGTCTTGTACTCAAAAATTTTGTATTTCAAATTATTCCCTGACGTAATAACAGAACTGTTTCCCGGTTTCTTTATTTCCCTAGAGGACACATCGGAAAGCACCCCTATAATGACTTAGCGTGATGTCTATAATTCGTAACAAATTGGTAAGAGCCCTTTTAAAATTAAAAATAAATATGGTACTTACTTCAACTATTCCATCAGTTTCAGAATATCTTCCACCTAGCAAACCAATTACTTCTGCCATTGAAACATGAGCATGCTAAAAATATAGAGGAGGGGGGAAAAATCATTCGTAAAATGTTGGCAATCTTTTATTCTCTCCCCAATATATATAGAGAGGAAAAATTCAGGTAGAATTATGAAGATTGGGACACTTTATCCCAACTATGTACATAGGTGTTGTGCTTAGAGACAATATAAGCCTATGTGATAAAACTCTATGAAACAAGTACTATCTCTTGAATTGTTACAGATGGGAAAATTAGTAGATGAGAAAGTTACTGTCTTGACTAAGCTCCTCAGAAAGGAAAAGGTATACTGAGATGGAGTTTTACTTATTGTCCCCAATTGATAAACAGGCAGGAAAATATGTTAGAAAATGAAGTTTACAATTATACTGAATACAACTTAAGGGATGTAATATGTCATATAAAGAACATATATTTGAGACAACATTTGCAGGAATAATTAAGACAGTCTCTCTCAGAGACATCAAAACATCATTATTTTTTAATATAACTGCCAATAAAAACAAAAATGGGCTATTTCCACTATAAATCTATATTAAGAGTTAAACTTGTACTAAAATGTATGCATTTAACCGTGATAGCAGAATCAGTTTCAGTAACATCAATCATTAGTTAATTAATATGCATTTATAATGCACCAAAAAGATTGCACTTTTATTTAATCATGACTTAAATCTTTCTTTTAATGAATTTGAAGCTATTTTATTTATTTCCATAGAACAGGTCTTACCAAATCCATAATCAGAAGTGCTTCTGCAGCTACTGTCACTTTGAATGGCTCCTGAAAAGATAAAAATTATAAGAAAAGTTTGCTTAAGTAGACTAAAATTTGTTCATCTCTCCTAAATCATACTTACTGGTTTTTCTTCTGTGTAGGAACAACAAGGGATCAGCTGAAAGGGATCAAATGAACTATAGAATAAAAAAAGAAATATCTGAAATTACAAAACTAATGGAAAGCAAACATTTAAACGCTGCACAATTTCTTCATATTTTTAGTTTTAATTCCAATATCGTAAGTGTTCGTGATTAGTTTAAATAAGCACTTTTATGTACAAGAAAAAAAATTCCATGGGTATATTTCGATCTTTTTTTTACTGCAGTGCAGACTTTATAGTATGAATTTCACTCAATTAATACTAATCTTAAATTCTTCTGACAGGAAACTTTCAAATCTAAAATCTCACCGGTCAATTTTTTCCAAAGAGATTTTACAAGATTAAGAAAAAAAAACCTTTTGGTGTGCCTTTGTCCTTTAAATGCTTTTGATAGTTTATATTTCTGATCTTCTCTCCTCTTTGCTAGCTCCTCAGCAGAGAAATGCTAAAAACAAAACATATGCATTAAGTAAACCCCCTAATACCGAGCGTTAAATATACTTAGGCTCAAAGAAATCAGGGAATTGGAGGATGCTTAATATAGTTGTCCCACTAGCCAATGCTAACAGCTGCTACCACAATTAAACTAACATTATGTCAAATGCACTTAAGTGTCAGGAATGCACAAATCTCCTCTAGAGAAGTCAAAACAATTTCTTTCAGTGAAAAGGATGAACATTCTGCACTTTCCCATTGGTAGATTGAGTAAGGACATTTTTAAATATTAAAATGTACCATTATGCTAAGTATGTCTACTTTAGTTTTAGCGTGCCCTTATTTATGATCAACTCAAGATGACATACATAATGAAGGTTCCCATTTCCTATTTTCCCCACAACAACAAACCTGTGAGGTGGGTTGGGCTAAAAGAGAGGGACCGGTCCAAAAGCATCTAGCTGGCTTTCATGCCTAAGGGAGGACTAGAACTCAAAAACATCTGATCTGTAGTCCAGCACCCAACCCACAATACCAAACTGGGTCTTGATTGCACTTTGATCTGTTTCTCTATATGCTAGCTAAACCTTGGCTAAGAAAACTGGATAGTCATAATCAACAAGACAAAAGCATTCAACTAGCTCAGTAATGATAGGGGGCTCAAAGGAAGCTTACAAATTACCTATGATAAGATGGCCACAACTCTTAATTTCTTATGAGGAATATGATCTCAAAACACAAAAATCCCATACCTGATTTTAATACATAATGCTGTGTTCAATATTTTAATGGTTAAATGAAAAATATTCCTTTCCTGAATTCTTCACTTTTAAGGGGCTACAAGTCTGTGCCCCCCTAAGCATTATTCTAAACCTGGGGTCTGCAACCGTGACAACTTTAAGACTTGTGGATTTCAGCTTCTAGAATTCCTCAGCCAGCTATGCTGGCTGAGGAATTCTGGGAGCTGAAGTCCACAAGTCTTAAAGTTGTCAAGGTTGCAGACCCCTATTCTAAACGACCTTCATCCAACCCAGTGGTGGGATTCAGCCAGTTCGCACCACTTTGGCAGAAGCGGTAGCTAATTTTTTGTTGCCCAGGTCTAGAATGGACCTCCGGAAGAGGTATCCACACAGAGAACCGGTTGTTCACATATCTGAATCCCACCACGGATCCAACCCCCAAAGTTGGAGTGATATTTCAAAAATCAAGAGGGGTATCCAACATCCTTTCCATCAACCTCCGGACATTGAAAGACCCACCTGGAGGCATGGCTACAACGGGGCCAAGTGTGTTCCAGGAAAAGGTATCCTAGCTATACTCAAGCAAGTTCAGGAGTCTAAAATGTTATTACCTCAAACGTCTGTCCTTCCAAATCTCTGGCGTCGCACCAGTTTCCCCATGGGTCTCTCACACGTCGCCTCCTCGTGCGCTGTACCAAACAGAAATGCACGCACACGTTCATTCAAGTGCACCAGGGCAGCAGGCTCTCTTTCATAATTTATGAAAGACTGTCACAAAAAATATTGTAATGCACAGTGACCCGGATTGCCACTCTCCTTACTTACCAGCTGGTGAATATAGAGGCCACATGAACTTCAGCTGACCCAATCTGACCCATCTGTTACTCTGTCCAGCCTCCCTGTGCTTCTTAATTCTGCATGCAACGATGCAATGCAGAAGAAAACACAGACAACTCCTACAGCAACTCCAGAGGAAGGGGCTGGAAAGAATACCAGAAGCCATGCTGAGCTTCCGTTTTCCCTCGCTTGCTATTGAATAAGCTTTTGGGGGGGGGGGTGGAATATGTAAATAGGCTCGAGTGTCTGCCTATTTAGTCAAGCTAGTCCAGTGGTTCTCAACCTGTGGGTCGGGACCCCATTTGGGGTCGATCGACCATTTCATGGGGGTCGCCAAGCAAGGATGTCCGCCATTTTTTTTGTCCGCCATTTTTTTCTCCTTTTCCGGTGGGTGCCTTACCTCCCTTGGGCTGGGCCAGCTGGTGGTCGGCCTGCTCCATCTCTGCCGCTTGCCAGCTACGCCTCGGCCGGCGCAGGGGGCGGAACCACGCATGCGTGGCGCTCCCGGGCAGGGAAAGTCCTCGACTTACGACCGGTTGGGTAGTCCTCGACTTACGACCGGTTTAGTCCTCGACTTACGACCGGTTTAGTCCTCGACTTACGACCGGTTGGGGTCGCAGCATTAAAAAGGTTGAGAACCACTGAGCTAGTCAATTCTTAAGATTTGTACCAAATGCTATGATGTGAAAAGAGAAGCCAAGAAAAGAAAGAACAGCTTTGAAAATGGGCTGGATTTAGCAGGAGACTGCAGAGAAAACCACTCCAGGAAAGCAATTGGGCAACAAATCAGAATGTTGCTAACTGTTTCACTCTAAGCCCTCCTTCCCCCCCCCACAGTCACGTGACTACGAATTGAGCTGCTTTTAAAGGCTGAGGGGAGAAAAAATCCTGAAATCATGCTCGGCAAGCTTTCTCTAATTTGTTTTAACTTGTATTTATATAACTCACACCCCACTTTTTGCTCCTAACAAACTGCATCGCTTAACAGCGGAAATTCTGGTTCCAATTCCCATCATTAAGCGAGGACTACCCGGGCCAGGGCATTAACTGGTGGCTTCAGTTTTTTGAGAACGACAGTCATTTCCTTTTTGGCCCGCCTCCAAATTTAAAGACGTTTGACTTGAAAATGAATAACCGCTTTTTTATATACCTGCCCAATAAATCTAGTCGAGAGCAATATATAATTTAACCAAATCTCTGCAAAAATAGCACCGTGTACAGAACTCCAATCTATAATTTATGAAGTCGAAGAAATCTCAGCGGCGTGTGAAAAAAATGCACTCAAGTTTGCGTTCCTACAAGTATTATTCTCAAATGAACATAGTATAAGAGACTGAGAAAAAAATAACCCCAAGGATCATGAAGACACGATGACCCTGTTTTCCATCTCACCATGGATTGCAGGCGTTGCACGAGCTGATACGCATCAACGGCATCCTTGCCTTCCCTGGGACGTATTTTGTCAACGGTCTGTGGTCTATTATACACGGCTTGCTCTGCAAAGGTGAAGAGATGTTGCCCTTCAGTCTCCACTTTAGACAGATGCTCAAAAAACAACTGAACACCAGGGTCAAAAAACCAAACATCTGACGACAATAGTAACTTTCCACTTATTTTAATTCTATCCTTCAAGTTAAACCTTCCAATCACGAGGTTTATGTGACTAAACAGAGCATCACTTCCAAAATAAAGAAATAAACAATCAATTTACTGTATATGCTCTTCAGAATCAACAGAGTCTTGTAAAGAATGAGTAAAAACTATTAAAAGTTACATAAACAGTTACATATGTAACTGTTAAAAGTTACATAAACGATGCTACCTACATAGGAGCATACAAAAGGGGAGCCAGGATGTAGAGATATTACAATGTAGCTAGGTATACACAACATTAAGCAAAATAGTAAAATAAATTTTCGGATCTGTCTCTAACCTACTATAGAGCACAGGCACCAGATCCAACTAAATCCCCAAACCTAATTGAAAGGTGAAAGAAACAGCAACCAATTGTGTTTTTAAGTGTAAAGAAAACAGCAAATGGTTCATTCAGACTGCATTTTCTAGCCAGACACATTAAAAATATATACTTTCAAGTAGATCCTTTTGCATAGCTTACGGAATTAAATCAAGCACTCTACAGATTAAGTACCTAATGCCAATTACGTGAGGGGAAAAAAACAATTCAAAAGAGCTAGAATGGCATACTATCTTCTACTAAAGAACAGACTAAGAACAGAAAACAACACCATTACCGATATATATACTGAAAAAAATCATAATCTAGTGTCCATTATCCCAAATTCTGGATGATCATCTGGTACTTGTTTACAGATATCACAGCAATAACAGACTAGTCATTACCCCACAACAGCCTGAAACAGGTGGAACTACTATGTTATAGATATGGGAACCAAGTTTTGCAATGACCAAGACTCTACTCTTATTTTCCTTCTGGTGACATTATTACAAGATGTCATAATAAAACCCAATACGTTTAGGATTCATATATTTCCTCTTCCATATATTGCATTGAACAATCATTGAACAATTCACTCATTTGTAAGACAAACAGACCTATTTCTGGCATCTGAAGTGGGAGTATTTGAAAAAAAAGCACTTAAGACAGGGGTGTCAAACTACCGGCCTGCAGGCCGGATGCATCATGCTGAAACTGCACCCACCCCATTGCCGGCAATGGAGAAAAAGTCGTGATACATCACAACACGTCACATGATGTTGCGAGTTTGACACCCCTGACTTAAGAGGAAAGATCTTGAGTGCCTTTGTTGCCACTGACCACAAAGAAATTTCAGTGAAGAGAAACAAGAAAACTAATCTATCAAAAGATACTAATTTGTTTCCAATGTCTTACATAGGGATAAAGTTGTTTTATTTCATTTTCTGGCACACTATTCATAGAATATTTGTTATCAACTAACAAACCTTCTTATATAGAATCCAAATTAATCATGCATATACTCAAAACTCCTAATGAAACTTCACTTCGTTTTTAAGTGGCCTTCAGCCCACAAAAGCTACTGCCTTAATTTAAACAGGATACTTTTTGATACAAAAAGCCTTGCTGTTGTTTTACCACAAAGGGCACAATGTAGCAGAAAAATACAAATGTGAGGTAACGAAAAAAGAGAAAGTTCACGAGTTCTTGATTCTCTAAGATTGACATCTGACTTCCAACTCTAATAAGTGTATTTTTAAAATGCTGTTTCTAATCTTTATTCTCCTTCCACCTCAAGTCTATTAGTGCTTCCTAAAAGAAAAGGTTCAGTAGAATTCTCTATGTCTTTGGTAGCCGTGAGCTGCTGTGGAGACTCCTCTAAAAAACAAAGGACCCAGAATGTAAACCTAATAAAACAGTGTTCCTTTTACCACAGCCAAAGTTAATTGCTCCTATTAATTCCAGGTATGTATGTATTCGTCCAATGCAGTTGACATCACCACAATTTTTCAGCCCTGGACGTACCGATGTCTTGTTCAGGTATTTTGGTTTGATTCTTTCCCTAAAACCAAGTGGAATCACAATTAAAAATATAGATTTGACATACCTAAATGTATCTCATAATTTCAGGGGTGGCAGTCATGAAAATTATGGGATAGTTGCCATTCTTTTAGAGAATTTCTATTGAAGCGATAAAAAGCAATGAAAGCCAGCTGGTGACCTTGGGATGGATGGACATTCTCTCTCAGCCCAACCCTACTTTATAGGGTTAATGATGTGGGCAAAATAGGAGGTAGAATTTGTTTGCTGCCTTGAGTTATATATAAAAAGACAGGGTAAAAATATAATAATAGTATTTCTATAACAGCCATATGAGATAGATTGGGCAGCAAGATAATGATTGGCCTTAAGTCTGCCAGTAATATCTCAGTTGTAGTTCTGACTGCTCTACAGTTTTGTAAATAATTAGAAGTTATTAGGGTGCATAAAAAGGGGGCACAGGTGGCTACCAAGTCATGTATTGTAAATGGACACTACGTAACAGTGCAAGTGTATAAAAAATACACAAACTGTTAATTACATGAAGCATGTTTGTTGCATACCCTATCACTGATGATTCTTTTCACCAGCGCTACGTATGCATTGACCAGATCCCCTTAAAAACAGCAAATTGATTGTCCAAAGGAGTCAGATGAACCTGAAGTGAGCTTTCAGTTCATCAATAATGCTTACCATTGGTCCAGAATATAATTTCTAATTTTCAAATAGCGCTCAGGTGTTTTGGCTTGACGTCCAACAAAAAATTCTGGAATTGCTTGCTTTTCTTCTTCTAATATAATGCCTCTATCTATTGCTATTTCTTGATCTGGTGACTTAAGCTCCTCTGCATCCATCCGATTTTCATCCCCAAGGTGCTCAGAAGGAAGGAAATGAATGCTGCTGTCAGTTGTGTTCTTTTGTTCTTCACAAAGCTCTGGACTAGGAAACCAGTCGGGACTTTCAGAAGTCCCTGTTCCGTCACACTTCTGATTCTCCATTTTTATAGTCTGATGCTCTTTATTCTCAGAGCAGGAGACTGCAGTTTCATCTGTGTTTTGCTCTGGCTTTGTAACGTCCCTGGTTAAGACAACAGCAGACATGTGGTAAGCAGAATCCAAAACAGGTTCTGTCCAATTGCTTTGCTCAGATGGGCTTTTTGGAATATCTAATATCTCAGGCTTTCCAGATTCTTGCAGATGCTCACAGGATAAAAGTTCATCCATTTCATCTGTAATGTCTACTTCCTCGTCATCTGATAATTTTTCAATTTTCACTGCATTTAAATTAGGGTCTGCTCGACCTCTTAAGTGCTCTGGTGCCCATGTCACCTCCTTCCTTCCATCATCCTCGTTGCTTTGTGGAAGAGGAGCACCAACGTGCTGTTGCTGCTGTTTCACTTTTTCCAAGCCATCACTTTTTGCCTGGTTACATTAAGAAGAGTTAAGCAAGGCACAACTAAATAAAAAAAATTGGATCAAAAAAGAACACCAGTTAAGACAAATAAACAAGCTACTTCTCAATGCTGTCCCATTTTCCAGTTAAAAACAATTCCAGTTAGGAGTAATAGTCAGTATTTTCATCTCAAGGTAGCAATGCGTTGTAGAATTGCTCCTATAAGCAAAATGCGAAAAAAGGAGGTGCAGATATACAAACTCAACCAGGTGCTCTCAAAATTTCAACAGAGAATTTGGGCATTTAGAAGAATTTGAAACTGCATGAGTGGTAGTCCACCTGAGTGATGTTATATTTCACTCAGTGGCTCAATTAATATTAATTAAAAGCTGGACACTGGATAGATTTGATCAATTTATTTCTTATAGCTAATCTTTTTCTATTTGTCATCCTGTCAAGTAAAACTCATTTCTAATTTACCTTGTTTTTAAAATATTGTCTAGCATAGCTCTTTACTTGAAGAACGTTGCGACTTTCAATCATCATAGCAATTTTTGTCCATCTTCTGCCAAATTTAGCCTAACAAAAAAAATAAATATAAATTCAGAGGTGGGAATACAGAAAAGATAACAGTTTATCTAAACATGGCTACTATAAGGGACTGTAATGGTATGTGGAAATAACCTTGGGAGACAGGAAGAAGAGCTTCAGCCTAGAAAACAGTTTGATAAACAAAATGTGAATTTGAAGGAGGAAGGGGTTGTAAAAACACCTCAGAAGGAACCCTCCCTGGTTCTCAGGAGAGTGTAACTGAGGGAAGTGAGGGGTAATTTCAGATTTGCAAAATTTTGTTAAGGACACCTTACAATAAAAATAGAGCAAGTAATGCTGATTGTCCTTCTTGATTGGACTACCTCTCATGGCTGACAGTTACGGATAGTCCTCCTTTAGCGGCTAACCCATTCAGTGACCATTTGCAGTTACAACAGTGATGAAAAACTTTGTGACCAGTCCTCACATTCAGACCTTTGCAGGTCTAAACAGCAAAGGAAAGTTGAAGTGAGATCATAAGCACAGTTGCGGTTTTACTTAATAACAAGTTGTTAATTCCAACTGTGGTTGCTAAATGAGGACTACTTGTATTGCCAACGGGTATTAAGTTCACACTCTAAAGCAGAGGTCCCCAACCTTTTGGGCACCAGGGACCAGTTGCGTGGAGAGAGGTTTTTCCACGGACTGGAGTGTGCATGGTTTTGTGTGCTGCCTGCATCCCGCTGATGGGGCTTTGCTTGTTTGTGCAGATCGGTTGCTCGCATGCTGTGGCCCGGTACCGGTCAACGGGCTGGGGGTTGGGGACCCCTGCTCTAAAGTATCATTGAGATCCAAAGCAAACTACAGTACTTCCTTGTCAGCTTTTTACCATGGTAACTTTGCTAACAGAACAGACTAAGAGTCTTAGAATAGTTTTCAACCCCAAATGCGTAAGACCTTATTAGGAAGCTAAACCCAGATTATATCTTACTCTTGGAAGATAAAGAGTTTTCCATCTTCCCTCTCAAATTTACTATAAATGATTGGGGATTTTTTGTAATAGTGTGAAAATCAGTACAAGGAATTCCTCTTCCCTGATAACGCATCTTAGAATCCCTGCTGTCTTGCCAAGGTTATCTCAATCAACACAGAATGTTTTAATGTTAAGACTGAAGGATGGCTGATTACCACCAAAATTGCAGTAAATGGTCCAAGTAGAATTACAGATAGTCCTTGACTTACAACCATTCCTTAAGTGACTATTCAAAGTTACAACAGCATTGAAAAAGTGACTTTTTCACACTTACGTTGCAGCATCCCCATGGTCATGTGATCAAAATTAGGATGCTTGGCAACTGGTAGTATTTATGACGGCTGCAGTGTCACAGGGTCATGTGATCCCCTTTTGCGACCTTCTAACAAGCAAATTCAATGGGAAAGCCAGGTTCACTTAAGAACCATGCTACTAACAACTGCAGTGACTCATTTAACAACTGTGGCAAGAAAGATCATAAAATGAGGCAAACCTCACTTAACTGTTTTGCTTAGCAAAGGATTTTGAGGCTCAGTTGTGGTCATAAGTCAAGGAGCACTTGTACTTTCTTGTTCCTTTTTAAACAATTATGTGACATGGTGGTATTTAAAACCGTTTATGTTAAATGTTAGTGTTTGTAATATTTACCAGTCCTTCTTCAAACTTTTCCTTTTCTTCTGTTGTCCACTTCAGTGAACTAGTTGCTGATTTTGTGATAGGTGAACGAAGCCTATCAGAAAGCAAAATACTTAATTTCATACACATGCACTTAAATAACAAGACATAAAAGAAAACCGGTATGATCAACTGCCTTTACAAAAAATACTTAAGAGTATGTCACATATCTAAAAAGTCACATTTTTTAAACAAGGGTTTGGGTTCAGACTCTGAGACTTGCAATATCTTGCATATAGGATTTCCTATCACTCCACCATTCTGTTTTGGGAGTTGTTAGTGTGTGGATGATATTAAAAATCTTTTGCCCTAATAGAAGGGTCTCATCAGCAATATGTAATCTTGGATCCAATCCAATATGAATGCAAGAAATTCAATTATTTTAGAGTGTTTATAAATAACACAACAAATTCTACATGCATAAAACAGCAATCTTAAACTTAGATTTAGCATCAGAAGTACATACATGATTTTTGTTTCTTTCTTGTGTGGACTATGAAGTAAAAACAAGAAAAATAAATGTTACTTAACACTATATATTTAATAGATATTTCTAAAATTATTTTTATAATGTGCAGATTTTAAAAATGTTTTCCAGTATTCTGATTATACCCAGCTATTATTTTCAGTTTTAATTTTTATACATTGTAGAATGGAAGTATGTTTTAAAATATTAAATTCTTGCTTTAAAAAAAATAGTGTGATCAAAAAGAACATTAAAAAACATTGATGCCCCCCCCCCCAGTTTTACAGAACAAATTTTACCTTTTTGTACATTTTTTATCAATTTCTTTCAGCTCGTGCCAATTTTTTTCTGGAAGCGACTTGCTAGACAAATAATATCTAAAATATATTAAGGAGTTCAGAAAGTACTCTATCATGAGAGAATTTTTTTCACAGGAATGTTTGGGCAGTTTTTTATTAAAAGCAGTGTCATTGAAACCCAATGAATTTGCATAAGTTGTAACACATGAAGTATTGCAATAACACCACATAATGCTTGCACAACACTTGGTTAATGAAGAAGAATAATCCCACATGTATTTAATCAGACAAATGAAAGCTTAATGTGCTTATAACTGAAACCCAAGAAAACATAGACACATAAAATTACTCTGTACCACCATTCACGTTCAGTGAAATTAGAATAATTTTACTTTTTCTTTCCTGCAGAGGAAATAATAAAGAAAAATATTTGAATCTTGGGATTGAAATGAGAGGTATTTGATGCTCTCTGAGCTTGGTTGTTCTCTTGCAGATGTTTCATTATCAAACCTTCAAATATTTAGCGGTTCCCTCTTATACTTTTTTTAAATAAGTTTCAGGACTTGGAAAAAGCAAAAATCTACCCAGGAATCACAAAAACTGGTGGTAGACAAAACAATCACAGTACATAACCCAAGTTCTTCCTCTTCACATAGGACAACTGAGCTTATTCACACAGGTATGTTATATTAATCTATGAAAAGAAGCATTCATGTTTTATGTCCTTGTAGGTCTAATCAACAAGGACATAAATAATAATTCTTTTTTTCAGAGGATTAGGAGACTGTTGGCAAAAGAAAGTATCTTGGGAAATAAGTATGAGGAACAAATTGTTACAAAACTAGTTATAATCCTTATATCTATCTGCTGAATTACAAATCTGCATTACAGCTTTTTCTCACTTTTTAGTAAGAAAAGGATACTCTTCTTCCAGAAGCATCTTCTCAATGGCAGCCTTGTTTTCTTCACTAATTGTACTATCAAGACTCCAAGGCTAAGAGAAGGAAATAGCAGTTATACAAATTAATTCTCATATCAGGAGTGGTATGAAGAGAAAGAGGAATCCTCTAAGATGCAAAGTGAAAAAAATAGGCATATTTGTAGGAAAACTCAGAAAACCTGAGGTAAAACGTGGTTTAAAAAAATAATATAAATTAGTAAAATCTCATCCTTTCGTTAGAAACCCAAAAAGGAACAGGAAAAGGAACATAATAAGCATGCCTCGAAAAGAAAAAGACATATACATAAACCTACTGCACATAACTAGCTATGTCATATTTGTTCTCGGCTTAAATATTTTTTATGAACACTGCATATAATATTTTCTTTCTGCCTATGGTAGTTTATACAAAGTACATAGAAATTGAAACATATCATAAAACATTTGTCCAAAAATACAAAGAATGAGAACTCATTCTTCCATTATATTCTGTAGTTTACTTACAAGAACCACATCTGTTCTCCAAGTGGAATCAAGGTAGTGATCTTGAAGTAAACTGGATGATGGATATTGGTAACCTCTGGAACAAAAAGCCAAAGAATAAAGATTATCACAGGCATGGTATTTTAATACTTTTTAAATGTCATATATAGTATTGCTCTGCCCTTGATCCTACCCATTTTTCTTTACAAGAACATATGGATTAACAAATAATACTGTAGGACAAGAACAGGCTGAACTAGAGAGCGGGATTAAACGTTGTCACAAGAAACCCTAAATCCAGCTCTCTCTTGAATTCTGTTGATCCTTATCTAATGCCAAGGTACCCTAGTTGACTAGATTCTTATTTATAGGTAGCAATAATAAACTCTTCTATCCTTTGGACTCAGCGAATGCTCCTGGTTATTTGCGCCTGACAAGTACTGGAAAAATTATTACATTATTTTATAGCAAATATCTATAATTCCTCATCTCATGAGATAAACAGTGAAACAGTCAGTTATTCTTGCAGCAGTATGCCATATTTAGGACCATCTGATGTGAAGAACCAGTGGTTGGAAAAGATTGTCCATAAAAATATGCAAACTTGAGTATCAAAATGAAAAGTTAACTGTACTATTTAGTAATTTAAAATAATGAAATAATTTTAAAGAATAGGAACAATTCAAATGATTGATGGGAAACAACAAAGTAAGGAAGTGGAACAAAAGGTATGAAAGTCTATGAAAAGGTCTATGAAAAGGTAAATTATTTCACAGAGATGAAAAGTAATCTATGATCCATGAGATGCTGATAAACAACAGATAGAGAAACAAGATGAGATTTCATCAATTATTCCTGAATTTATCAGTCCTTTTGCTACTGCTTCTAAACAACGGTCAAAATTTGTACAGAGTAAAGCATTTTCATCCTTCACCCCCTCCAAAGAAGTCTATAGATACTCAACTTCCAGCATTATCTCTGTCACATTGAAAGATTACTGGGAAAGACCTTAGCCGTAAGCACAGACACAGATTTTCGGTTATAACGTTAAGAAGCCCATCAAACTCCAGCCCATAGCGCAATGGTATGTGAAAATAACCTTGGGAAGCAGGAGGAAAAGCCGCAGTCTAGTGTGATGAATAATATTTGACACTGAAGGAGATTTTAACTATTGGGGAGAGTAAAAGTGAAAGAAGGGAGGGGTACATTCAGACTTGCAAGGTTCTGTTAATGTAACCTTACAATAAAGATAAAGCTAGTACTCCAAGTTGTGCCTCTTGTCTGGACAACAGTTGCAAGGTTTACAAATAGTTAAAAGATATCATGAACTCTAACTGAAACATCTGAAGGCTGCCAGAGTTTACAAATACACCACTCCATCCCAGGCTCTGTTTGCAAAATTAACCGGCGAAAAGCTTTATTTTGATAAATATAAGAATAGCTCGGGAGTGCAAGGGATGGCGTCTCCTTCCTTTCCCCCATTATTTTAGTCTTCTAAAAAAAACAGAATAGATAAATTCTCTTATAAGTCTGCTTTACCTAACCCCGCGAGCACGAGTATGATTCTGGGAGACCGACAGAATGAGCCCTAGATCAGTGTTTCTCCACCTTTGGCTACTTTAAGACGTGTGGACTTCAACTCCCAGAATTCCCCGGCTCGCATGGCGGCTGTATAATTCTGGGAGTTGCAGTCCACAGAATTTAAAATGGCCAAAGCTGAGAAACACCGTCTTAGCCCCAGGGCAGTGGAACGACTGACCTCAACCAGCCATCGCAACGCCAAAGGCTCTGGACGAACGGCATTGCACGAGGCCTCTCCTCGGAAACCGGAACCATCTTCCCGATTGCCAGGTTGGCAGCCCAAAAGCTCGCCCTCTCTTACCCAGGCTGCGCTTCCGCAGCGGGTCCCACCGTCGAGTCCCCCTCAACATCGATATCCAACTCCTCCACAGCCTCCATACTGGCACCTCCACCGGATCACGCAGTGACGACACAGGAAGAGAGTCAAATGTCCCGCCTGGGCTGGTGCGTCTTCCGCCCTGGAACTCGGGCGTGGATGACGTTCCGGGAGGCAGACTCAAGATCTGCGCATGCGCAAAAGGCAACGGGCTCCCCGTTGCTCTTGCTTCCGCCCTTAGTTGCTTTGGGGTGGGGAAAACGTGACTCGGGTGGAAGGGTGCTGTGGAAAGACCAGTGTGGCGAGAGAAAGAACAGACAGGGAAAGAAACGGTGTACGAATCACTTATTCGTGTGTTTGTAGATATTTTCAAGGCATTCCGTTAGGCCAGGGGTAGGCAACCTTGGCTCTTTTATGACTCATGGACTTCAACTCCCAGAATTCCTGAGCCAGCATAGCTGGCTCAGGAATTCTGGGAGTTGAAGTCCATGAGTCATAAAAGAGCCAAGGTTGCCTACCTCTGCGTTAGGCTGTAGCAGCAAAATGCCGCTTTAGAAGACAACCTTGCTTTAAAATAGGGCTGCCAGATCTGAGCTGCGAAAGGCTATGCATTTCCTAAGTCTCTGCTTCCACCTAAGGGTCCTTCCGATTTTTTTAAAAGGCAATTCTGGTTCACCAATTGAGAATATCTTCCAAACTGAGTACAGGTAGTCCTCAATGTACGACCACAATTGAGCCCCAGATTTATGTTGCTAAGAGACATTTGTTAAGTGAGTTTTGTCCCATTTTACTACCTTTCTTGCCGCAGTTGTTAAGTGATTCATTGCAGTTGTTAAGTTAGTAATGTGGGAAGTCATCCTCCCCCCAGAGAAGGAAATATTAAAAGGGCAGAATATTATATTTCCTCAAAGGATCTTAAAGAGGCAGAAAAGCATGCCCAGTTTTTCTTAATAGCCCCAAGTCTCCCTCCCCCAAGCAGAAACCAGCTCTATAGAAATGCAGATGTAATAATCCATTTAGGAAGATTGGAGTCCTCCAGCTAGAGGTTTAGGAAGATAAAGACACCTAAAATCTACATACCACACCCAAACTCTAGGACAGGACATAATAGGCTTAACCACAGATGCCAAAGGGGCACACTCAGACTCAAGTCAAAGTATATGACACAGGAAATACAAAGCTTCAAACAGGAACAGGAAACAACTCCAAACAACAGCCCAAGAGGATATAAAACCCACTCCCTACTACATGTGCTCACTCTCTTTTCTTCCAGAGCCATCTTTCTGTCTGGCTTTCCTCTTCAATAAACAACAACCTTCTTTCTAAAGCAGTTGCCCTGTTTGTTTATTCCTGACTTGATGAGCAGAGATTAACATCAAGATTAACCAACAATCAAGAATCAAACAGCCCCAGTGAAGGAACTGTCAAACAACAGCGCAATTAAGGAACCATCAAGACCACTCCCACCTACACTGAAGGGGAAGTCACAAGAATATAAAATGAGATCAAACCTCACTCCGTACTAACACTGATGATGTTATCTAGTTTGGTAATGAAATGTCTGCAAGAAAACAACCAAGCTCAGAGAACACCAAGTCGAAGCTTTTACCAGCAGTCTTCTGACAATTACTTAGAAGAATATACAGGTAGTCCTCAACTTGTGATCACAATTGAGCCCAAAATTTATGTTACTAAGTGAGACAGTTGTTAAGTGAATTTTGTTCCACTTTACACCCACAGTTGTTAAGTATATCACTACAGTTGTTAAGTTAGTAACATGATTGTTAGGTGAATCTGACTTCCCCATTGACTTTGCTGGTCAGAAGGTAGCAAAAGGTGATCACATGACCCCCTGGATGCTGCAGCGGTCATAAATATGAGTCAGTTGCCAAGCGTCCCAATTTTGATCACATGACATTGGGGATGCTACAATGGTTGCAAGTGTAAAAAACAATCATAAGTCATTCTTTTCAGTGCCGTTTTAACTTTGAACAGTCACTAAATGAACTGTTGTAAGTTGAGGACTACCTGTACAGGGTTTTATTTCCAAGTAAATCAATCCATGTTAGGGTGCAAAATAAGAGGCATTCTTGTTCTCAAGAAAAGAGATTAAGTAATATTTCCTCATTTGCCTGAAAACCTGATGTAAGACTTCCTGAGTTTGTTAACAATAAGAGTGTGTATTACACATATGTGTGATAAATTACAATACAGAGAGAGTAGGAGGCACCATCAGTGCAATTTGGCTTTATTAAGAACAAGTTTCAAAACATCCAGTATAATAATGTTTTCATTATATAAAATGCATGGCAATACTTTGTGGTTAAACTATCAAATGCATTTCTGTTACAGTTTCTGCATTCTAAACAAAAGAATATTGATCTAATACAATAATGTGGTAACTAGCTTCCAGATTTACTTTGGGTCATATCCATTTATGTGCTAATATGTAGAGTAATAAAACTTTATCTTATGCTATACTTGGTGCTAACATCAACACATTTTATAGGAATACAGCCATGTAATATCTATATTTCATTGCTGGATATAGGGTAGTTACAAGCTTTATAGTGTAAGCAGTCTTATTTATTTATAGTTATACTAAAGCCGATGACCTCACTTTCACCTCTCTGAAAATTGGATCCCTGAAGCTGCTATTGTCCATTCAAAAACAACAACTACATATTAACAGAAATAAAATGGGTCAACGCATATAAATCAAGAGAAATGAAATTGATTGTAATAATTCTAGAGCTAGAACAAAACTATAAACAAGTGAATAAAATCAAGCCTTGCTGGAGAACACAGGCTAGAAGGAAGAAAATGTCTTAAATTTCTGCAGCATAACATTTTGCAGGTTTGCTACTACTGTGACAAAGAAGTTGCCGCTAGCTGCCCTATAGAAGCCAACTTAATCTATAGTATGGTGTACATATACATGATAGAGAATAGAATCAGAACTTTTTAATGTCATTTGCTTAGAACACAATTGCTATTCTAGAAAAATGTAGTATCTTTAACATAATTTTAACTGTGTCTGGAGTTGTGAGTCAGATTGTACAAATAAATAGATCAGAAGGTTTTTTTAAGGTTGCTCCCTTGATCAAATTTACAATCCTTTGTCCACTACCACCTGGGCATATTTAATTGTTTTTTTCTCAAAAGAGCCAGTTAAAGATAAATCAGGAATGCTTCATCCCTGCAGTGAAAAGCCAACTATTGATCGACTGAGAAGATGTAGTATTTTGGTGAGTATAATCTATAAGCCTAAACATCTTGGGGCAAACTATATGCATTAATTAGATACAGTATTTCACTGGATCCCTTAAGTTAAATGTACAAGGTGTATCTATAATACCCTCTTTGCAAATCTACCTTATCAATAACATTTTCTTTTTCAAAAGATTAACAATTTGAGCTTGGTGCTCAGTGGCACTGGATTCTGCTACTTGCAATGGGGTCTTCTTCAAGCTATTAGTAGCCTGTAGATTTGCTTTATCTCCTGCAGACCAGTTGAGCAGTGCTTTTACAGAATCAAAATGACCAGCTTTGCAAGCACAGTGCAATGGGGTATCTTTATTGTTGTCTAAGGCATTAATAGCTGAGCCATTGTTCAACAAAAAATCTATTAGACTGCTGTGTCCATGTTCTGCTGCAAGATGCAAAAGTGTCTTTCTCCAAATATTTTTGTCATTGATATTTTTATTATCTCCCACCATCAAAAGTTCTTTTAATATCTCCACATTCGCGTTGATAGCTGCATAATGCATTGGTGTGCAGCCATCCATGTCTTTGCTTGCAACTCTAGACTTTTTAGCTAACAGGGCTTTCACTGCATAAAAATGGCCTCCCAAAGTTGCAAAATGAAGTGGAGTCTTTTTCTCTTTATCTGTTGCATTTGGATCTGCCTTGAAATTCAGAAGCAGCTCCACCATTGCAGGATTCCCCACTTCAGCTGCAAGATGAAGAGGTGTCTTTGATCGCTTATTCTTGAGGTTGACATTGGCTCTATGTTGCAACAGCTTTAGAGCTATATCAGTGTGACCTTTATCACTTGCCACGTGCAATGGAGTGAACAGGTCTATGGCGACCGCATCAATTTTAGCTCCTCCTTCAATTAGTAGGTCAACTAATGCTGCTCTATTGTATATTGCAGCAACATGGAGGGGCGTTTGATTTCCTTGAGCTGTGATGTTAGGATCTATTCCTTTCTGGAGAAGCATCTGTGCAATAGAAGAGGCCCCAGCTTCAACTGCTAGGTGTAAGGGGCTACTTAAGTTAGGGGCCTTGTCCTTCAAGCTGGCTCCCTTCTCAAGAAGAACTTTTGCTGACTTAATCTTTCCCGTTTTACACGCCAAAAGCAATGGTGTGTACTGTTCTTCATTGCGGACATTAATGTCTAACCCTCTTTCAATTAAAGCTGCCACAATGCCATGCAGATCTTTTCCTATGGCTTTAAACAGGGCTGATACCATAAATTCAGATGATAATCCTCTGGCATATTCCAGCAATATTTTGAAGAGAGATTGGTTGTTGCTGTTAAAGGTGGCATCAATTATGCTGGAATCAACTTTGGCTCCACCTTCCAACAATACCTTGACAGTCTTCTCATGTCCCTGAGACACAGCATAGCTCAAAGCCGTCTGGCCTTTCTCATCCCTGGCATCTACCAAAGCACCATTTTTTAAAAGGATTTGAACCAGGTCACTCTCGTCCTTGAGAGCAGCCATGTGCAGGAAGTTGTGCTGATTCTTGTGTCGTCTCGCCTCTTCTTTTAAGATGTTCTTTAGAACATGCATGTGCTGGTTCTGGTTGGCCAAGTGAAGAGGGGTTTTGCCTTCTTGATCCAAACTGTACATGTTGGCACCAGCTTGGAGCAGCCTGTTCACGGCTTTATCATGACCTTTCTCAGCAGCTCTGTGCAGTGGGGTTCTTCCTTTGTTATCCTTGACCTCTCGTTTGGCACCTTTGCTGATTAAATAGTCAATTATTTCAGTGTGCCCATGAGCTGCTGCAATGTGTAAGAGAGTCTCATTGGCAGAGTTTGTTGCATTCACATTAGTCGCGTTTAAGGCTTTTTCCAGATCAGAAATAATTCCTTTCCTCACCAGATCAAAGACGGTAGGAACATTGTCTAGGGATTGTCGTGCTGCCAAAGTGGATTTTGATTTAGGTTTATCATAAATCATCTTTTTTGGCTTAATAGATCTAGGGCTATCTTTTTTCCCTGGATGGGAAGCCTTATCCTTTTGAATCCATCCTTTATCTTTTTCAAGGAGATACCCTACCAGTTGTCTTCTGGCATCTCCAATTTTCTCATTCACACCAGTCACATAATTCCTTATATTGCTATATAAACGTGGCTCTACCTCTTTCAAGCAGGGATAAAAAAAGAGTCTGCATGCCCGCTCACCTTGAGAAGCCAAGATATCCAAAACCCGGGAGTTCTTTGCCATTCGTGTTCTATAGTAGGACAAGACCATTTTTTTCTCAGCTGTAAGGACACCTTTTTCTATCAGCCAGTCCAGAAGGTGATCAGGGTTTTTTATGCCTTCCACAAGTTCATTCTTTTTCATTTTCAGTACTTCTGTGGCATATGGATTTGTGAATAAGCTAGAATACATTCTGTCTTTAGATGACTACCATACACCGAACCTTTTGAAGTTCAGCATTTACGGTAATTGTAGCCCATTGAGGTTTATGCCAACAAATATTGCGGTGGCTCAGCTGGAAAAATCAGGAACAGACTTTCCTTCCTGCAAAAAGCATAAACTCTTCACCTTTCTCTGTGCAGTGCCATTCATGTCTGGTTCTTTTTTTTCTGTTGCTCAATATCGATGTTGACAAATGTAAAAGAAAAACCCACAAAAACCAAAATACAGTTCAATTAAAAAGTATTCCAGGACACCAGTAGACCAATATGCTGAAACAAAAATCCATGTCTCAGAATTTGTATCTAAGCGCTTGGCGGAATAGAAATATTTTTCATTATTTGCCATGAGAGCCATCTGTCAATATGTCAGTAACTACTGTAACCAGCAGGCTGTTTACTGTTGCTATGAAACTGGACTTTGTGTAACGTTGAGATAAAATAGTAAGCACTTAGTTAATTAAACAAAGGCCTTTCACGCTGTGTTCAAGAAATGCATTGCTATATTACTAACAAAAGTAAGCCGAGTAGGATTTTTTTTAGCAAGAAGTTTTCTTGTTGTTAAAGTTCTGATGATAAATAGCATCCATATCTCTCCCCCTCCCTCTCTTTTTCTCTTTCTCTCCCTCCCCCTCCTCCATGTGTGTGTAAAGAATGTTTTGCACATTTTAGTAAAGAACATATGTGGGGAAAGTTAAGTTTCAAGTTTAGAAAACAGACTAATTTAACAATAGGCATTTTGATCAAAACAATTTGAGAATATTATAATGACATCTGATAAATATCAGATTAAAACAATCCTATCAGTAATTACAGGAGGAGGGAAGATAGATTGAACGTGATGCTACAATATAGAATAACTGCTATAGCTATATATCGCTCCTATATGTGCTCAGCTTTTCTAAAATGGTAGAAATGTCAGAAATTCTTTACCCAGCATTGTATACACCTAGAACTATCTTGATGAGGATTGATGACCTATAATTTGCACCCACAGAGAACTGAAAAACGTATACTTAGTACATTCCATTAACAATATTTCCTGTACTGTCAGTTCCTGGGTTACGGGCAACTTGTTCTTATGAACAGGCTGCCTATTACTAAAAATGGCAGATGGCGTTCTTCTTCCCCAAACAGACGAACCACTGAAGCCTTGTGTTTTTAATATATAACCTGTTTCCAGCAGTTCATGAAAACATTGTGCTATTTCATTGGTTCATTGGTTCGAGGAAGGAGAACGCCATCCGCCATTTTTAATAATAATAACTCATAATGAGTTCAGACTTACATACAATTTTGAATTAAAGACAGACTGGGGAACAGTTCTCATTCTTAGCCCAGGGACTGTCTGTACATCAATCATACAAAAAGATGCTACAGCATCTTCGATCCATCATTCTATTGACCATGGCAGCAATGATTTCATTATTGACGGGTCCCTGTTATTTGTCTAGGAAGCAGTGTAAATCCACAAACACGATTTTGAAGCCCAATACACAATTATCCAGGAAAGTAGGCCTTCTATAACACAGGGAACAGCAGATAATTTACAACTTGGTAGGCTGAAGGAATCACTTAAACAGAATGATCAAACATTTTCAACAACAGTTCACTACTTAATAGGCCAAGTGCATGTGGTTGAAAAATGTGTGAAAACAGAAGAAACAGAATATTTGCTGGGTGTTTTTTTTAAGTATTACGCAGACATGGCGAATTGGATGGTTGAAACTACGCTAGAGTTGAAGCGTTTTTTTCTTTATAGGTCTGCATGCAGCTAATGGGAGGAAAATTGGTGCGAATATGAATGTTTGGAAAAGCGATATGCTGAATTGTTTGGCTTTTTGTATCTGATTGAAATGTACCCATTAAACAGCCAAGACATTTTGTTTGTTTAAACTAGTAATGCTGGCCCAGTTACTGGGACAGCAAGTTAATCGCTACGGCACTTGAAAGAAGAAGATGAGTGTTTTAAATTAATTGTTTAGTCTTCCTATCTGGCTTTGAAGGTCTCTGTGCTTTGAAGCTTTCAGGGTTTTAGATTCCAAGATGAATTTGCTTCTCAGTGTAACAGCTTGCTTTCAAAAACAGCATACTTAGGCAGTGCAACATTTGTTTGACATGATTTTTTTTTCTTCGTCTGGGAGAACAAAATATGAATTATCTTTTCAAGGCAAATATTACATCAGCTTCTTGCCATTGATGGCTGGAGGTTTTCACTAAACCCAGAAGAGGTCACTGTTTCTCTTTTCAGCCTCTCTGACAGCCAGCCTTGGAAGTAGCTTTAAAATATTTAGAGACCTGGAACCTGTTAAAATGGGGCATGCCATGCAACTGAATGATTTCCAATATCTTCATTATATTCTCCAGGGAATCTGGCTTAACATAACAGCTGGATTGGATGAACATAAATATATCAGTAGTGAGTGAAGTTGTGTTATTAATGTTTCCCAGCATGCATTTTAATTTGAGATTTAGCCATTGAAGCACAACATGTATTTAAGTTCTTGCCTGGACTTTTATTGAAAACATTCGACATCTTTGTTACAAGCTAGGCAGCGACTTGGATTGGAATTGAGATGTTGAATGTTTTCATTTTACTTTTGGAGGATACTTTGCTTGAAGGACTAGAGACTTGTCCTGGTATTAAAAGGCTATAAATAGGCTTACTGTACATCCCAATCTGACTGGGGTCGTCCCAGTTTTAAACTTCAACTCGGGTGTCCCTGATTACAACAACAACAAAATTAGGGCTGCACAAACAAACAGGAAAAACCAGCGAATGTTCAGCTTTGTCTGTGCAAATCTGCTGATCGTGAGCGTTGCGCCCCCTTAATTGATTGAAAATATGACATGCTTAGCTGTAAGCACCTGGGTAGTGAATATATACTGCTCACAAAAATAAAGGGAACATTTTACCATGGAACTGAAGGGGTTTGCGTTTCCTTTATTTTTGTGAGCAATATATATCGTATCAAATTGGAAAGCTTGGTTTTATTTTATTTTATTTTGGCATAATGGAGACCATTCTGGTGCTCTCATTTTCCTCACGACCACAATTGTAGCCCAACATTTCTGTAGCTTAGTGAGACATTTGTTCAATGAATTTTGCCCCATTTTACGGCCTTTCTTGCCACCGTTGTTAAGTAAATCACTGCAGTTGATAACTTAGAAAGCTGGTTGTTAAGTGAATCTGGCTTCCCCATTGATTTTGCTTGTCAGAAGGTCGCAAAAGGTCATCACCTGACCTTGGGACACAGCAACGGTCATAGGTATGAACCACTTGCCAAGCATTTGAATTTTGATCACGTGATCATGGGGATGCTGCAAAGGTCGTAAATGTGAAAAAAAGGCCATGTCACTTTTTTCCAGTGCCGTTGTAGCTTTCAGCGGTCACTAAATGAAGCCTAGTAAGTCGAGGGCTACCTGTATCTGTTTGATTTGCCTCCATGATATTTAGAAATAATTTCAATTATTAAAACACATTTTGCACTAACAGGAAGAGAGATGATGTTCATAGGCTAAATGGAGACTTCTGGCATTCAGTTCCTCTCTGCTGCTGTAGTGTCACTGCATCCACATGTCACTTGTTGGGCCTGCCTCAGGCCTAGGTGCTTTTAGTGTTGAAAAAAAAGATGCTGAGACTCTAGAAAGAGTACAGAGAAGAGCAACAAAGATGATTAGGGGACTGAAGGCTAAAACATGTAAGGAACAATTGCTGGAATTGGGTATGTCTAGTTTAATGAAGAGAAGGACAAGGGGGGACATGATAGCAGTGTTCCAATATCTCAGGGGCTGCCACAAAGAAGAGGGAGTCAAGCTATTCTCCAAGACACCTGAAGGCAGGACAAGAAGCAACGGATGGAAACTGATCAAGGAGAGAAGCAACTTAGAACTAAGGAGAAACTTCCTGACAGTTAGAACAATTAACCAATGGAACAACCTGCCCCCAGAAGCGGTAAATGCTCCAACACTGGGAATTTTTAAGAAGAGACTGGATAGCCATTTGTACGAAATGGTGTAGGGTTTCCTGCCTGAGCAGGGGGTTGGACTCGATGACCTCCAAGATCCCTTCCAACTTTATTATTATTATTATTATTATTATTATTATTATTATTATTATTATTATTATTATTATTATTATTATTATTATTATTATTATTATTATTATTATTATTATTATTATTATTATTATTAAGTCCACAAGTCATAAAAGAGCCAAGGTTGCCTACCCCTGTTCTAATTATAGTATTTATATACCATCCATCTCATTATCCAAAGCAACTCTGGGTATTAGGGTATTGTGATCTGCTGTTTCTATTTTATCATTTTTATACTGCCATTTATCATTTTTATACTGTCTTGTATATTGCGAGGTACCCAGAATAATTTGGAGTAAAAGAGACATCACCCTGAATTTAAAATAATAAACAGAACAGGTCACTCAGTCCAATGAGGCTAATTTCCCGATAAATATAAAATTGCAGTTCAAGACATGAGTGGCAACTTCTACCTCCTTTTCTATCCACCAGTCAGAAGTTGCACACATGTGCATGTGGATGTGTTCAGGTGTGCCCCCATTCACAATAAGTGTTGTATGCTGTCTCCTTTGGATGCCCATGTTTTTCCCAAACAAGGACAGACTTAAGAGACAGGCAGAGTTGGGGGAAAATGCCTTCTCACAGTTCTCTATTAGGCAGTTAGTTGGTCATCAATAATGTTATCCATTTTCCTATCATAGTGGCCAGCATTGTAAATATATTATTAGTTTGAGGTTATTTTTATGTGTAAGACAGTATATAAACATCAGTACCCATTTCATCAATCATTTTCATATAGTGGTTGCAATCAGATCGATGCATGAAAATGTATGCATTGCCTTATATTAAAAAGATAACATCAGCTTCAAGCCAGCTTTCAGTCTGATGACTTCACTGATACATTCCTGACAACAGCATGGAAGTATTTGTCATGGCT